ACCCTCCCGCGGGGCTCCTCCTTTATGGCCCCCCTGGGACTGGGAAGACGCTGATCGCGAAGGCGGCCGCCTGTCAGTGCGGGGCCGGCTTTATGTGGCTGCGGATTACGGACGTGGTGAGGGGCGAGGTAGGTACGGGGGAGAAGCTCCTGCGAGAGGCCTTCCGGGTAGCCCAGGAGAATCGACCTGTGGTTATTTTCATTGACGAGTTCCAAGCACTTTTCAGCGCGCGCGGGGGGGGCGGAGGCGGGGGTCGTCTGGCGTCCCAGTTGCTCCTCTCGATGGACGCACTGCGCCGGGAGCACGGGCGGGAAGGGGAGGTCGGCGAGGAGGCTGCCGGCTTTGTCTCGGTGCTGGCGGCGACCAACGCACCTGAGGCCATCGACTCCGCCTTTCTGCGGCCCGGGCGCTTCGACAGGCTCGTCTACGTGGGGTTGCCAGACCAGCAGGATCGGGCAGACATCTTGGACAGGTGGCGGGAGCGCATGCGGTGGGCGGAGGACATGGGGGTTGCCGAGCTGGCAGAGCAGACGGAGGGCTTTTCCGGGGCAGACCTGGCGAATTTGATGCGGCGGGCGGCGCTGCATGCCTTGGCTGCCCATAAATCGCCTCCATGGCCGGACGGAGGCGGCCGCGATGGAAGGGCTAGCCAGGGCGGAAGTAGTGAGGCTGCTGTCCCCCTGCCCCTGATTAGGCGCGAGGACGTGCAAGCGGCCCTTAGGACGTGCCGTGCCACGACGTCGCCGGAGAGCCTGTCCAAATTTGAGGCCTACCGCCGTTTGCACGGTGGATCGGGAGAGTGAGAGGCTTGGAGGGCCGGGCGAGGGCAGGACAGGCATTCCACACAGTTTGCACATAGGACGAGCTACGTGGGAGCATAGGCAGATGCCAATTAGTAGTCATTTACAGTCATGAGAACATTGACAAGGCAGTAATAAGTCACTTATTAGTCAATTGGTGCTTTTACAAGAGATGTCCCTCCCTCCCTTCTTCCTTTCATTTGCGCTTGTCTGTCCAAACTCTCTTTCCCGCTCCTTCGACCTACTGTGCCACACTTCCCGCCTCCAGCCCTCGCAGTCGACCCACACGCTCCCTCTCCATCTCCCTCATTCGGTCCCAGTGCCTTCTCTTGCACGCCCGCTCGCTCCCCTCGCTCGCGCTGAGCAGGCGAGTCAACGTCAGCCATCGGCTCAAATCCTCGGGCCGCAGGTCTTTTCCTGCCTCCCGCCCCCGCAAAGTCACGTATTCCTCTTCCGCATGGCGGGCGAGGTCTTCCCCGATCTCCACCGGGAAGCCAGCCAGAGCCGCCAGGTACCGACGCAGGGACGCGAGGGCCTCGGGCGACATTTCCTCTGCCCGTTCCTCACGCCCTTCCTCGCCACCGCCCATGGGGAGGGAGACAGCAGCAGCAGAGATGGAGTGACTGGTCCCCGCAGCCACAGGAGCGGACGCAGGCGCGAGCGGGACCTCACAGAGGGCTCCCCCGTGGAAGATGGATCGGCTCTTGGAGACGACGAGCATGGGGCAGTCGGCCTCGAAGTCCAGTTTGTAGTAGCCGAAGTTGCAGGAGGTCTTCTGGCTCTCGATCAGGCCCTTCAGGCACTGAACATTGGCCACACCCGCCGCGTCCAACCGCCCCGTCTCCAGCCCCGTCTCGTCCAAGACCAGGGCCGTGCCCGGCGCTGCCTGGAGGGGCGTGGTGGAGAGGAGGTTCGTTCCGTAGTCCTTCTGCGATATCCAGGCCCGAGGGTCCCGGAGGCGGGCCAGGGTCACGGGGAGGGAGCGGGACCGGGCAACCACGCGGGCGAGGAGTCGGCTCAGGCCCTTGGCGAGGCCCGGGGTCTTGACGCGGCTGATGTTCACGGGGAGGTTGCCCACAGTCTCTCCCCCGCCGCGTCGAAGCCGCACCCGGGAGAGGAGGGCGAGGAGAAGGTACTCTGCCGCCAATATGTCCCCTTCTAGATGTCGCGCGAAGTAACGGACGGTCTCCGCGCGCGCGTGGGCGATCTGGTCGGGCCCCTGCGTTAGCCTCAGGGGCCGGGGCCGTGGGACGGAGGCGCCGGCAAAAATCGAGGGCGCAGGCGCGCGGGAGGACGCAGAGGGTAGCGGACTGGGAGCGATCCCTCCTGCCTCTGCTTCATCGTCTAGGAGCATTGGCCCCGCCCGCTCCCAGAGCAATACGTGCAAGCGGGGGTAGCGCCAAGTCGCCCCGTCCGCCCCGCCCGCCACGTCCATGTCTTCCTCCTCGCCCTCCATTCTGCCTCCCGCCATGTTGTCCTTCTCTTCTGCCGAGGTATAGGACAAGATTGCGACCACGTCCAAGGCCTCGTTCAGCTTGGGGGGGTAGGGTCCCTCCTCCCCGTCGTAGAAGTAAGCCAGGCACCGGAAGGATTCGGGCCCTTGCAGCCCGTGGAGACCCTCCAAAGAGTCTGCAGGCAGGGGGCATGGAGGCGGAGCATTGGACAAGGCGGATGCATCGTCTAAGTCCATGCCATTCGCCTTGCTTTCCTCCAAGCGCGCTACCTTGGCCGGTCCATCGCTCAGGGGTGCTGTCAGGGAAGTGTCCATCTCAGTCCCGCTCGCATTGGCGCAAAACGACCGTTTCTTGGCAATCAAAGCGCTCTCATCCTTGATTCCGGTCGACCGTGACCGCCCCACCCAGCCTGCCTCCCCAGGGATGGGCCCTAGGAGCAGGGGCCGGCGCTCGACGGTCCCGTGGGGCTCCCATTTCGCCCCCGCTGCCGCCTCCTCGGTTGTCAGCGCCTCCCGATACATAGTGCAAACCACCCGACCCGAGGCAGGATCCCTTTGCATACCGGAGAAAAATTGCGGATCGAGCATATCGACAACCATGCCACGAAACCGGACCAAGCGATGCTTCCGCAGGGGTCCCATCGGGGCCGAGTCCGCGGCCCAAGTCCTAGGGTCTACTAGCGGCACACCTGATAGCGCGTTGGGTTGCCTCTCGAAATAACGACGGAAGGCGTCTGACACCCTCAGATGAAAAGAGGGTTTGACGGGAGTTGGGACAGTGGAGCTGATCGCCGCTTGTGAAACAAAGCACTCCTGCACAAGGGCCAGGGGGTTTTCCAGGAGGTCCGGGCAGCTTTCCATGTTGGCAAAAGCTGACGAATTGGATGTTGCAGGGCCTGAGTCCATGACTGTAAGCGTGGTGTCAGAAAGATATCTTTTTTTTAATTGTTACGATACGAGCCCGTGAGAGGGACAGAGCCGGGCGTGGCGGGCGGCAAAGAAACAGGGCAGGCGGGAGGAAGGAACAAAGGAGGCGATACTAGCGAGATATCCCGAGGCACCAAGCGCACCTCTCATCGCCCTCTTTTCTTCCTGCACACAGCCCTGCTCGCACTCTCCTCGTCGCGGGTTCCGTGGTGGCATGATGGCTGCGAGCTACCCGGCGGCATATACATACGGGGCAGTGGAGGAGGTGGTGAGTTGAAAGTGTGGGGGGGATCGAAGCTCCTGCAGCCTCCATTTCCACACCGGTGGCGCCTTCAGTCAGACACGTGCACCTCGGGCCCTGTTTCTAAAATCCTGACATATCACACGCACACGATAGCATGATCGTACTGCCTTGCTGAAAGGCACGATCCGCTTGACGGAGGAGACGAACCAGCTGGCGGCGGGGATAGGGGAGGACATGCGCGGTCAGCGGGTTGCCTTGGAGGACGGTTCCACTCGCATACGGGAGATGAAAGGTTTTGCTGGCGAAGCCCGCAGGATTCTTAATCAAATGGCACGACGAGCGGCTTGGCATCGTGCAACTTTGTGGGGTATCATTGTTTTCCTCTCGCTGTGTATCGGCTTGACGCTGTATCGTCTCTTCACGAATCGCGGGCACATAATATGACAAGAAAGAGTGCCAGCCTCGGTCAAACACGGGACTGTGCAGCCATTGAAGGAAACAACCAAATCATCCATTTATAACAAATAATCAATGCCTTGGAAAAGAGCGGTTTGTCTGTTTACTCGATTGGTTCAGTGCTGAAGAAGTCTCCCCTAGCATGGCTAAGGGACTTCTCATGAGAGCTCTCACGCCATACATAGCTTCTCTGCCGGCTCATGCTCGATCTGAACATTGCTTAGCCCCGAACCTTTCGGCGATACGGACGAATTTCCCTTTCTCAGCTGTAAGGCAGCTGCCTCACGTCTTTTTGGACAGGACCCGGGTCGCCCTCGAGGGCTTGGGGGGCCTTGTGTCACCCCTTACCCTAAGCCTGTTTCCGGTGCCCTCTCGCATCCTCCGTACAGAGTACCGTCACGCTCGGCTTGCTGCGCTCGAACACCTCCCTGGTCTCGGGGTATATGAGGCGGAGCAAGACCAGTCCCTGCGGGATCCTGGACACGTCAACCACGTTCTCCTCCCTGCCCGAGTGGCGGCGCATGTCCGTCGTCAGGACCAAGCGATACGCCAGCCCCGCCTGCTCCCTCCCCGCGTCCAGGGCCCGCGGCTCCTCCGTTCCTTCCCTCCTTCGTCTGGCCCCGGGAAGGTGAGACTTGGCGCCAGGCGAGGTCCGGAGCGTCTCGTCCGTGAAGTGCTGGTACTGCGGCAGGCCGCACTCGTCGTACACGACAAAGGTCCACATCCTCTGCTTTCCCGGGAAGATCCGGCCGATGATAAGCAGGTCGCCTACGAGGGGTTAGGAGCGAGTCAGCCTTTGCGTACCTTGGAAAGAAGGAGGGTGCGTGCTTATTCCTTGAAAAGCGGCTCCTTTTCCTATTGCTCAGGCCGAATGTGACGTCGGAAGCCTCGCTCGTCCAGCATTGGGGCCCTAGCACTTCTCATACTACAGAGAATGCCCAGATTTTTCTTCCTACCTTGGCGGGCGTCAAAGGGGCAGGAGTAGTACTTGTGGTTGGGATGGGCCTTGGGCGAGTCCGCGTCGTAGACCCGGGCCTCCGGCGGGTCTGTGAACTCGTTGACCTGGGGGTTGAGAGAGGGAAAGCCAAAGACGACAGTTAGGCGGAATAAGTAAGCGAGCAAAGCAGAGGCAAGCCAAGAGAGGAGATCGGGCGTACGGACGCGCTGAGAGGCCGGGGAGCGAGCGGGCGGAGAAAGCCAGGCACGGATTCCCACCTTGTACGCCCTGTCTGACAAGACCCTCTTCGCCTTCCTCCGACCCCTCGCATACAACAGACGCAAGAGAATGGCCGGCATAGCCCCAGCTACCAGCAGCATCGCGGTTATCTCCGCCGCCGACCACCTGCCCGCCAGGAGTAAGGCACAAGCCACGGCCCCGAGGTAGGCGAGGAGGCGCAGAAGCCGCTGGAAGCGGTGCGAGGGCGCTTTCTCCGCGTAATGAGGCCCAGAAAAGCTGTGGTGGGCGGGTTTAAGCTCTTTGGGCGTGCCAGGGCCCATAGAGTGGAAGGAGGGCATGTCGAGGCGCTGTCCAGGCAGAGTCCCGTACCTCCTCACCACCAGCAAGGCGTCGCGGACTCCGTGTCGCGGCAGCCAGTTCGCCGGGGAGATGTCTGCCGGCCTCTCTTCCTCATCACAAATGGCTACATCGAAGCTCCCATCCAGATTGTAGACGAGGTCCATGTCGCAGAGGCTGGGCGGGACCTGGTCTTGCACGGGGTCGAAGAGGCCAGCGTACAGAGAGAGCGAGAAGTAGCGACAAACGGGCATCCTTGGATGTCGGAAACGGATGCCCTCGTCAAGGGGAAGATAGCTGTACACAGAGAGGTAGTTGTTTGGGTCCGGAAGGGTAAAAAGAGCTGAAGTGAAGGCTTCGTCGTAGTGCTCTGGGCAGCCGGGCACGTCCGATAAAGGCGTGGTATGAAGTGTACGAAGTTTCCGCAGAATTGGGGGAAACCGTAGGAGAAGGGGAAAGAAGATGATAGTGGCCCCCACACCTATTACAACTCCCATAAAGACAGTCTCTTCCTTGAGGGGGAAGAGACATAGAGGTGTCATTGTCATCGAATCCTAAGTTTTACGA